AGGAACGGCAACGACGACGGCTAACTTTTCGTATTTCTATTTGGAATTGAACACTGTCATTGCATAGTTAACCTGAGCACGTTTTTAAAGCCATTGGCGTAATACACAGATCTAGACAATTGCAAATTTCGCTGGTAAAATAGAAATTCATCATTTACTAGGCGTTGTCGTAAGCGTCGCCGTCGTCGACCTTGCTTAAGCTCCCTCTCTATCGTCTATCATGACATACATTGATACGACATAATTTACATATCATAACTAGTCGGCTATGAGTGGTCAACAGGAAGTAAAGAAAGTAAACATTGTTAAAGGTGCAATAGTTTACACTAGCCCATTAATTTAGGTCGGGCTGCACTCTGTACAAAGCACTTTGTCAACAAATTCGTTTGCAACGATATTTTTGTTACACCTGATCGACTTCCGATGATGAAAAAGCTATCTAAATTTTCTAAATTAATTCATGCACAGTATCTGCATAATTATGTCACCGTACAGTATCTGCATCTATAATGTTCTTCTATTGGTTCCGTTGTATGTCGTCGCTACAATGCGAGATTTTTACATGCCCTCACATCAAATTCTGTTAGACATACAAAGGTTTCCCAACGTTACCTGGCAGCTCTCTCCTCCGCACCTCCGCAGAGGTTCGAACGTTCGTTATAGAAATCCGCAGTGCGAGGTGAGTGCAGGCGCAAAGTAGAATGGAGCGATCGATGAGCTTCGAAGCTAACGCGCTTTCCGCCGTAGCCCTTCAAATAGCCCCGCACCCGCACTCAAATCGCTCAGTGGATTCTCTTAACCTAAGAAAAAAACCTTTGAGCATCTGCGCAGGAGAGAGGCCTGGCACTGTTAGTCCGTTCTATTAGCACAGACCGATTTTCGAGTGCCCGCCTGCGCCATCGGGTAAAAACAAGTGTCAGCTCACGGACTCTGAGGCGGTGCTGATGCTGGCGCACTCTGCAACCAAGGATACGGTTGCCCTGGAGGCGGATACTGCGGAACTGTTTCTTTTCCAGGGTAGGGTGGTGGAGGTTCTGATGGATATGGGTATGCTGGCGGCGGAGAAGATGGGTTAGTTGGAGCTGGAACATAACCCACTGGAGGGGGTGGGTAGGGATTTGCTGCTGGTTGTTGAATAGGATTGGAAGGGGGATGTTGAATCACTCCTGATTGTGTGGTATGGGATGCTGAAGTCGTGCCAGTCATTGGCATTCCAACACCAGCTGCTCTACTGGGCGTCTTCTTGCTCTTTGCAACACACACGGAACAGCATACAAGCCCAATAAAGACCACCACACCGACAGCAACGCCTATTATCAATGCCCAAGAAGCTAAAGTAGAAATGAGCATAGATCGAACTAAATTAGTACAGGTAATCGTGCGACTGCGACTGCGATTAAGGATTCACCCTGCCAGTGATATTTTCCAAATTTTCTCGAAACTGCACGAGCCTTTAAAATATCACAACTGTAAATCCTCAAATGCTCCAGCTTTTATGCTATTACCGACCACTATCCATTACGTAAATGATTGTATTGCAGTGCAGTGCAGTGCAAAGTAAAAATGTACGATAAATTGGATTGGTCTCAGACAGTTACGAGGCGATGTAGTAATTTTCTGAGTCATATAAAAATATGGTTAAGATATTAGCGGTTTTGCTTTACGTGAGAAACATTCTGAGTCTCATTAACCAGCTTTGAGACAACACGGTACGTTTTTAATAATATAATAAAACATGAACAGGCAAGATCAAACGGAGTCATAATCATAGTTTAAAAGAGGGAGTGTTTATGAAGCTTGACAAAGTTCTTTGTTTCATGAAACCAGACTTTGGCCTGTAGGAAACCATATTTTTGCCCAAAGCTTGGACCAACTATGGGAAATTGAATACTCATTTTAACGAAATGCTTTTGAAGAAAATCTCAACTTCAAGCGTTGTCCTTGCTTCAAAAATCTCCAAAAAGAATCTATTATTTCCACCTATTAAATGGCTCAGTGATCTACCTGAAATTTTAGTTCAACAGTGCATACAATGAGCCCCTATTTCTGAGTGACTGTGCTCTCTCTCTGGAAATATTAGATCTGGAATCACAGATCTCTCTTTTTATTCAGTTGTTTGCTTGATTGTTTGTTTGACTGAGGAATTAATAAGTAGAAACGTTTTGGTTACATAATTCATGCATAGTGTATGAGCGCAAAACCAAAGATTGTACACGGTCGTGGACCTTCCAACATGAATATTGTCATCTTTGTTTGCTCCTTTGACGTTTGCCGGGCTTCATAACCATTCCCCATTATTAACTATGGTATAATCAACCAGGATTGCTCCGTTGCACTTCTTGGTCGATTGGCGACATCGTTCACCTCTCTTCTGAATAACTATTGCTGAAAATTGAAGGTGTGATTATAAAAGGACCTTTTAGATCAAAAGACCTCTTGGAATATGAATATCGAAAAATCACAGATAATAATCAACTAATTCAACTTACTGGGTTTATCCTCTGCCGTGAACGTGGCCTTAAATCCTTTGTAAATTGAATAAGTCAAATGATCTGCTCTAAAACGCACCCACATGTAGCGGCCACTAGAGCGAATGTCCTCTGGTTTTGTGTAACCACAGAATTTTCCTTTACTATTACTATAACTGGACTTCCCATCTAGAATCTCCACATAATCTGCTGTACAACTGGATCCAAAGCTTGGCTTCAGTTCAAATCTGTCAAACCTGAGTTTCACAATCTTTCCTTCTGGTACAGTGATGAGCCAATCACAGCTCGAACCTGGGGGGTAATACCTGGGGTCCTGTGGACTTTGTAGAGTTCCGTATGAGCCACTTAAAGTCAGGTTGTTATTGTAGATGTTTCCAGTGAAACACATCTCCTTAGAAGAGGGAGCTATGGAGAAAAGTACAAATTATACAAGTTCAGTTCAGACAAAAACTATTGACTCTAAAGATGACTTGCACTCAGGTTGTGGAAGAATATCAGTCACCAACAACAGTGAATTTCAGAACTGACCTTACCTGGACGATCACAGTACACCAACCAGTTCATTAATTCCTAAGTTAAACTACCCATTGGGCTAATTATGCATCTGTCACACTCAACATAATAATGGAAAGGAAAATGCAAATTGGTCACACAATCTTGAATATGTCACACAAACGTAATGCAACACAGGTGCAACAAATCAATAGAAAACTACCAATTCTTTGGTGTTTCTTTCTGACATTGTCTTGCCCTTGGAATAAACAAACCACTGACAGAGTCTCATCTGCCGAAAATATGGCTCTGTCAATTCCAAACCCACCCCTGCCCCCCAGGGCATTTGATGGGCATTTGACATGCATTTTGAAATGCCTGTCAAACGCCCAGGAAGTTGGGGGGCGCATGGGCAGGCTAGAACTGACAGAGCCACAATCTCATCAATAGTACTTACGAAGTTCTACAGCTTCAAAATGGGCTTTGAAGCCTTTGCCCCCTTGCCAACTCATATTGTTCTGGGAGTTGGAATAAAACTTCACCCACATATACCCTCCAGTGGAGTAAACATCAGAAGGAGTGAAGATATTATATCCACAATAAATAGCGAGTTCTTTACTCTCTGAACCCTGTCCATCGCGAATCTGCACATAGTCTATCTCGCTTGTTAGTTGTTTACAACTGGAAAAAACTGTTCCAAAATCAAAGTCTTCAAATTTCAGTTTCACTCTTTTTCTGGCAGGTACAGAGATGATCCAAATGCAAGTGGCATCATCTGGGTAAGGAACAGGGTAGTCAAGGGTAAAGAATGTACCAGAAGACCCTCTGAGCCAGTGGACCTTACTACTCCAATCTGATCGACGACATATCCCAGACGCTTCCTCTGAAACAAATGAAAACAAAATCATTTGCCACTGATACAGTAAAGAGTTAGCGTGCAGTGTTAATTCAAAATGTCAAGCTGGTTAATTAAATCATAAGACTAGTATTGAGTCAAAGTTTGAGCCTATTGTTGACTCTTTTGATTTGCAGTCCCAGGCTCATAGTAGAAGTGATAGTTTTTAGTATTATTTAAAGCCATGAAATGAGGAGTCAGGTTGCCCATTCTTCCAAGTCAGTGGCTCATGACAAGTGCCCTCATGCTCGGTTAGTAAGAGCTTCAAAATGCTAGCCTCTATGTTTAAATTATATATCAGGTATTTTAAATACCATAATTATGTCACTGACCACTTCTAAAATATGCAGCTGTTGCACTGGCTGACTGCAAAGTCAGATTGATTGTTTTTAATAGTTAATTTCTGAAATTAGCAGCTGAAGGTACCTGGTTGAAGATATGAGAAATAGTGTAAGAAAAAGAGTATTGCATAAGAATTCTGTATTACATCAGTACAGTATGATAATTGTTACCTTGTAATGCAAAAGACACTGATAAGGGGCTCATAATAAACTCATAAATCACACCCTCAGCTGTTTCTTAATGGAGCCTTAAATGCAATGCTAGAGGGCTTATTTTTGAAAACTGCCAACATTATAGCTAGAATTTTACAACAGAATACCCACTGGAAGTTCGGCTGGGGCCAGATCTTAATGAAAGCACTGTATCAGCTAGTATGCAGAGGCCAATGTTAAAGCCGTAGCTTTAGCATCCATGACACCATTGACTATTGAGTCACTATTATAATTTAGATATTAAGAAAAAGAGGTTGCCATGGAATCCTTGCAAAGACGGACCCAAGACTCGAGTGCATGAAAATGTATGATATGAACGAGGCAGATTAAGAGAAATGAGTGCATCAAGTCAAATTCCACAGCCCCACAACCATGCATCCCCCCCACCCCCCACCCTCACCCCCCATCTCCAAAAGGAAAAAAAACAAAGAAAAAAACAAAGAAGAAGGAGGAAGAGGGGGAGAAATGTGTCTTCTGTTCAGATCAGGGAAACCAACCATGAATTGACATGGGAGCTTCAGTTTTCTTGTGCTTGCCACAATTTGAGAGATTTTACTACACGCTCTCTTCGTTCAACACCACTGTAATATGAACACCTAGTAGGCTTTTGGTGTTTTGGTGTCAGTATTAGAGACTGACAGACACATTCACAAGTTTTTAAGAAATTAAACAGTTGTAGTGAATAAACTGTAAATGTACCTTCTTCAACAGCTGAAAAACTGAAGTTAAAGCCTTTGCTGGTGGCAAAGCTGTCTGTGTGGAACTTGACATACAGGTATGGGCCAGTGGAATAAATAACTTCTGGATGGGTTGTACCACAGTATGATCCAAGAAAGCTTGAGACAGCACTCGTACCATCATAAAATTTTAGCACATCACCAACACATGAACTTTCCAACTGGAAGTCATTGAATGTCACTTTCACTATATAACCACGAAATAATAGGCTATCGTCTACTATAATTAATAACCAACATTCCAGGTTATTGCCATAATCTGTTGGATAGTTGGGGCTTGTAATAGTTCTGTTGTAGAGTCCAGAAGCTAGAACTGTGCCTCCAAAAAATCCACAATCTAAAAGTAAGAGAAAGCTAGGTATTAATAAACACTATCTGTATATATAATTGTGGCCAATTTTATCACTGGTTTCAGCCTGGGGTTTAACCCTACTACATGATTACAGGGTTAAAGTAATAACAAAGGCTGACAAATGATAAAAATCTGACACTAACAGAGAAGACAAGATCCTTGTTTGAAAATCCAAGACTGGCAGTAGCAATAAACAATTTTATACTGTGAGATGCAAGAAATACCCTAGACTACAAGTAGTCCCTCTTTCACTTAGTCTTTCGTGGCCATAAGTGAATTGTGAGAAAAAAATGAGCTTAGGATTTTGCACGGTCATTTCTTGCAGTTTTCTTTTGCATCATGCACAACAGACTAAGCAAAAGAGGGACTACTTGTAGTCTAGAAACACCCAGAAATGTGACACATTTCAAAAGCCTCTGATATGCTGAGATGAGATCGGATCAAAAGTTTCCAAGATCCACCACTTTCTAGACACTGTTTCCTACCGGCCTAATTCACAGTCCTTGCATGGAATCTTAACCTATGGGTAAGGAAAAATCAGGACTTGTAAGGATGGTGTTCAAAGGATAGCAGAACAAGAATTGTCTGGAATTGTCTGGAAGAAAAATGCAAACCACAGGAATGTACCTCCTANCAAAGGCTGACAAATGATAAAAATCTGACACTAACAGAGAAGACAAGATCCTTGTTTGAAAATCCAAGACCGACAGTAGCAATAAACAATTTTATACTGTGAGACGCAAGAAACACCCTAGGCTACAAGTAGTCCCTCTTTCACTTAGTCTTTCGTGGCCGTAAGTGAATTGTGAGAAAAAAATGAGCTTAGGATTTTGCACAGCCATTTCTTGCAGTTTTCTTTTGCATCATGCACAACAGACTAAGCAAAAGAGGGACTACTTGTAGTCTACAAACACCCAGAAATGTAACACATTTCAAAAGCCTCTGATATGCTGAGATGAGATCAGATCAAAAGTTTCCAAGATCCACCACTTTCTAGACACTGTTTCCTACCGGCCTAATACACAGTCCTTGCATGGAGTCTTAACCTATGGGTAAGGAAAAATCAGGACTTGTAAGGATGGTGTTCAAAGGATAGCAGAACAAGAATTGTCTGGAATTGTCTGGAAGAAAAATGCAAACCACAGGAATGTACCTCCTAAGATTCTCCTCCCCACCAAATTAAAGAAAGCCTTCTTCTTTTGAATAATTGCGATAGGCATAGTTCGCCAAGGAATTTACCTCAGGGGAAGTCATGTCCATATTAAATTAATGCCAAATCTATTTTAACACCAAAACCTCTAACTTACAANAAATCGTGTCTAGCATGATGCCTTCTATGCGCAAAGTCGTATGTTAATTAGGAAAAATGTAAACAATGACATCAGCAAAGATTCGCCTACTACAGATGTTAGAAGAAAGATTGAAGCAACTCTTGCTAATCTTGAAGTTCTCAAATCAAGGCTTGCACCACAAACACTCAATCCAAAATTGCCGCAAACACATTATCAAGTCAAGTTTGGAGCTAACTTCAAAATCCTGTTACAGGTATCTTGAAATATACTTTCGTCAAGATTTTGTCAAAGTATTTTTAATTACTTGTAGGAAAAGTGCAAATTTGTGAAACTCCCAATCAATGTTTATCAGTACACACTAATTGACTTTGCATACATACAGTCGGTTGGCAATAACAAAGCGAAAAGACAAATTTTTCTGCGGTTGTGAATTGTCGATCATGACTTGCAGTGTGGTAGGCTCGACTGGCAACCTGCACTTTGAAATCCAATATATTGTAGCTGTGCTAATTGTAGCTAGACTCCCAATTGTATTGCTAGATAATACAGTTCTTTCACTTAAAAGTCTTGTCCATTTTTGATAAAATATAAAGCATAAATACCCCAAATATGTTTTCACAGCACTTGAAACCCAGTCAAACATCTCGTGCATGTTTTGAGCCATGTCCTTCGATGATTTCACAAGAAGCACAACCCAGATCCCACTATGCTCGGTTGTGGAGCAAGAAATTACAACTTTAAATGCCTGTAGAATCGTGGGGATTTTATCAATCGAGATAATTTTTTCACTGAAGTAATAGGGAAAACTGGTAGATTTCATTAAAGGAAAAAACATTTTGGGCATTAGTTGCACTGCAAGAAGGCAAGCTTTGAAAACTTGGGCCAACAGAGAATTTATATGAAACCTTCTCATGTTCCAATAGTAAGCTACTACTGAGTAGCTTGAGAAAAGAATTGAAGTCTTAAGTCGTGGGCCAATTGTCCATTTTGAGGTCTTTGATCCCAGAAGGTAATGCCCCAAAATCAAACTGAAAGAGCAATCTATAGAGACCAGGAAATTTCAGGTCTACTTGAATTCTTTTCTTCAGTTCTTTCCCAAGATGAGAGGATAGCTGCTCAGTCTCAATGACAACTGTCAACCCAAGAGTTTCTGCCATGTACACAGGACAGAAAAACCTGTACATATATGTATGTAATTTTGCTAGCTGTCTTCAAAGCCTGAAGGCCTTATAAAAGCTCCATCCTGCTTTTGGTTGAGATTATATATGCCATATAGTTTTATTTCCTTCTTTGTGGTAGTACTTTTAGAGCAGAGGCAAACACACAAAGCAATAGAAATTATAAAACAGAACTGGTGCCACAGTTATTGTACTTTGCTGTTAGTATTTTAACAGAATTTTTGCCTGCCAGGTTACATTGTTAATAAAACATTGATTGATGCTTTTAGCTGTACATCGAGTTACAGTATGTTTCACTTGACAGCTTTGGAGAGCACTCAAAACTTTGCTTTCCCCTGCACCTCAAGAAACTCTTACGCTTCTTTTCTGCTCTCCAAACGTCCGCAATGTATCACAATAATAACTCGATGATACGATTAAACACCTGACGTCATCGATATTTTTGCTACAGGTAAAGATTATGTACATGCACGCAAGAAACGAAACAACACTGAAATAAGACGGTATCACGATCTAACTGTAAAGTTACCACACACTTTAAAGTTTTTCATAAGCTTAGCTTACAAGAAAGAACATTTTCCTCATAACTTCAGCTTATTCAGAGGTATGCAAATTTTAGCCGTCATTTCTACGACGATCTGTCTGCGAGTTCGTTTACACAGATACAAAACTACATGAAAGACTTGTTATGGTTGAGATAAACATAGCACGAGTATTAGACCGTACTAATACCCACTGAAATGACTTTTTTAGGCAATTTTTCATTGCCTTTCACTTGTTTACGAGTGCTGTGAAAATTATTAGTCAGACAATGCAAAGTTTGGACGGTGCTTCAATTCGCGACCGAATCTATCAGCTGAAATGATTGCAGCTGGCAAACAAGTCACACTGCATCGTTTAGAAAAGTAAAATATATTAATCAATAAGCCTTGAAAGTAAAAAGAGTCAATCAACTTACCTAAGATGTTCAAGCCTGCTGTACGTGCCATTATAAAATTGGTAAATCGACGAAAACCACAACCAAGCGGAACAAGTTCAGCTGTGCTCATTAGCATGTTCTGTTCTAGGCGTTCCAATGCAAAATAGGTTTAAAAACATGGGTAGTCTGGGGAGAGAATCCCAGACCATTCTCGCGGGAGTTACGCAACGCTCTAGAAAGCAACGAAATCACCTTTATCACTGTAAATATAGACCATGAAGTTAGTGACTTGAAAGATCAGAAATCATCAAGACGAAAAGCGACTTGCCATTCTACCTCTTTTGCCCTGACGGCTAAGACGGATGTGATGTGATACTATTTTAGCCTAAAACCGAAGCTCCCATAAAATACTAATTATCCACGAAGGGGCCGTCCCTGTGATCACAAAGAAAACTTCAAAATTCGCCGGGCAGGATTTGAAAAAGACAGTTTTATTGTTTTTAGATGTGATCGGCGAAAACCGACAGAAAAATATTTGTTTACAAGAAGTTGAAAATAACTTACATAAGCATACATACTTTATTTGAAAAAGTCGAGTTCCAGGCAGCACCTGATGTGGACCTTAACACTGACTTCGACGAAGTAACTAAAGTGTTGTTGCTCAGAGATTAGCGAAATCAAAACAGTGAAGTTTATAAAATGTCTCACAACGTGGATTCAATTCAGGAAGACTTTACAACTCCTCTGGAAGATAAGCTTATCTCGCCGAAGCAACTTGATAACTTTCGAATAACTTTTATAAAATTCGAAAATGCGACGAAAGTTTCTCCAACACATTTAACGTACAAAGAGTCACTTACCTCAATATGACAATTAATCTCTTCAGGTTGAATCTTCCAGGCACAGACTCCCATCAAAAGTTGTAGGGACTGAACTGACCTATAATGCTTTCGCCATCATTCTCTATTCCAGGCTCGCTCCACTTCACGGCGTTGCTCGCATATCCTGGCAAGTTCCGATTCGCTTCGTTCCTCGCTAGCTCCTCCTTGCTCGAGCCCTCCCTCGCTCTGCTTGAAGGCATTGTTCGGTATTATTTCGTCTACTTTTCTTAGCCCTGACTCGCTCTACCTCACGGCTTTGTTCAGTACTGTTTTCGCCTCCTTTCTCGATCCTCTTGGCTATTTCTTTGCCTATTAATTCTTGCTCTGCGGTTCTCGACCTTTCACGTTCAGTTCAGTTAAGCCCTATCTTGAAAACGTAATTTAAACTCCTCGATCGTTTGTTGACAAAACAACAGAAAGGATTTTCCTTTCCTTAGATGGAAAACTTATGTTTTCCGGCAACAATCCTTTTGCTGAAAAAACGTTCCTCTAAGAGGCCAGGTTCTAGCNCGAAAGTTTCTCCAACACATTTAACGTACAAAGAGTCACTTACCACAATATGACAATTTATCTCTTCAGGTTGAATCTTCCAGGCAGAGACTCCCATCAAAAGTTGTAGGGACTGAACTGACCTATAATCCTTTCGCCACCATTCTCTATTCTAGGCTCGCTCCACTTCTCGGCGTTGCTCGCATATCCTGGCAAGTTCCGATTCGCTTCGTTCCTCGCTAGCTCCTCCTTGATCGAGCCCACCCTCGCTCTGCTTCACGGCATTGTTCGGTATTATTTCGTCTCCTTTCCCTAGCCCTGACTCGCTCTACCTCACGGCTTTGTTCAGTACTGTTTTCGCCTCCTTTCTCGATCCTCTTGGCTATTTCTTTGCCTATTAATTCTTGCTCTCTGCGGTACTCGACCTTTCACGTTCAGTTCAGTTAAGCCCTGTCTTGAAAACGTAATTTAAACTCCTCGATCGTTTGTTGACAAAACAACAGAAAGGATTTTACTTTCCTTAGATGGAAAACTTATGTTTTCCGGGAACAATCTTTTTGCTGAAAAAACGTTCCTCTAAGAGG